TAATGAATTTCTCACTTTAAGGATTCGGCATTATTTCCAAATATATAGTAAACTTCTTGCTGTAAAAGTGCTTTATTTAATTTATTTACTTTGTATTATGTTTATGTAGCTCTTATGCAGACTCACGCGTTGTACAACCTAATCAGGATAAGAGGAATCATCTCAAGATATCTATACATAACGAAAACGAAGTCTCTAAGTTCCGTTCTATGAAGGATTGCACCATGACAGAAGCACCATCGATCGCATCCAGAAAGCAGACCTCTGCTGAGGGTCAGGCCCTTGAAGCATATTTGCAAGATGTATCAGTTTACTCACAAACCAATCAATTAAGTGGCTTTATAGATTCAGGAAATCACTTTATAAACGGTGTTACTTCGCTCTCACAAGATATTGAAACCCCTAACAGAGATCAAGCGCTTTCCCCGAAATCTGAATCATTATATGCACCAAATCTATGCGAAATTAGCTATGAGAAGTTGCATCAACCTCAGTTTGGAATGATCAGCCCCTCAAAAATCAAGAAAAACATAAATAAGTTTGTGCAGACGAATAGAAATTGTACAATGAGCTTTGAAGTTCCTCACAATAAATTTACAGAGAGCAGTCACAGAAATTCTTCCCAGCTAATCCCTACTGAAAAACAAACAAAGCCAATCCGTGGCCAACAGCTGTTGTTACTAAGTCAAGGCGAAGATAGTGGAAACGACCAGAAAACTGGGAATATTCCAACTTTCCAGAGCAACGCCTTTACCACAACCCGATGCTCATCTGGTGGGCCTCTAGACGTCCGATCGGATACTTTGATGTTTCATCACCATCATCCAAAAAAAAAACTTATGAAACAAGTAGCAGACGTAAGTATATTTCGTACTCCAGTGCAATCTATAGAATGTCCATGTCCCTCTCCACCGGTTAGAAATGGAGTAGAGACGACTCGTAACCAATTATCCAAGCAGTTATACAAGATTCGGACAGAACTTCCTTCCACTGGATTTGCAGCACAGAGTAATCGGTCGATGGCACCTTCTTCACTGGGCGATATCATCCCAATGTCTTATAATACGACAAATGAGTCATTCCCACATATCTACAGCAGACATTCTCCAACCGCTAAGACTGACTTTTTCGTTGCTGGCAAAGCAGACAAGCTGTCGCTAGTGGAGGGTAGGAGGCGCAAAAGTTTTGGGAGCGCGTTTTACCCGCAGCCGATAGAATTGTGTACCAACGGTTCATCTGTCAGTGGAGCCGCTGCAAGGCTTTCAGAGCATGCTTCGGATGGTGAAGAGCAGAATGATAAAGTGTCGGAAAGCTATGAAAAAATGGTGCCACAGAAAAAGAGAGGTAAAATTTATAATAATAGCTCTATTCTTAATGCAATTATAAGAGAAATTCCTAATAAAAAAGAGTGAAAATTATCATTTAACCTTTAATGCAAGCATATTATTTAGTAGTACAAAAATTCAAAGGCAATTATATGCATAGATTATATGAAAAACGGAAATATTTTAGAATGTTTTGCTTCGTACAATAAATATGAGATGTATTAAACCTATTTCATCAAGGTGAAGAAGGACTAATATTTGAATTTGTCCAAAATGATACGAGTATAACTGACGTTTCCATTGAATTTCACATAGCCTTTCTTTCGACCTCGCATAGGTCGAAACTGCAGTCCATTCTAGATGAGAACAAGGCTGTGTGAACTTCACTGGGAACGTCAGTTCTATTCATATAATTGTCGGAAAATTCAGCTACTAGTCCTTTATTACCATAACGAAAGATATTTAATACATCTCATATATATGATCCACTGGTAGGCTCGATAACCGTCTAATAGACGAAAAATAATATAATATATAAACATATAGCAATGGCAGCAAATCCAATTCGAATATTGGATACATAACATTAATAGATTGTAGAGAAAGTGATAATTTTTAATGTATTTTCTTCTTAGCTTCTTATTAGGCTTATATAACCATACTTCATAATATAATTTTGAAGAGTTTAAGCACAAAAATTAGAGCATTATTTAAGTAAATAGTAAATAGTATAAGTTAAACAAACCTCATCTATACATGCCTTAACATTCACAAGACAAAATGAATGTAAGTGTAATAGTTTTCTAAACTTAAAGCCTTGGTATATTTCACCAAAGGAATATCACCTCCAGTTTGAATAGAGCTGAGGATTTTTATGACCTATCAATTCTGCATCCAATTGCTCACATGAAATTTTTTAACGAACCTCCGAACTCACATAACAGGTTAGGTTGGAATTATTCATACATTGGAATTATCGGAACTCGAAAGAAGATTTATTTGAAGTAATGATAAGTTTCATAACTGTAGCCACCTCTCAAGATCCGTGGTATGCTTAAGTCTTTGATTTGGCATAAATCGTTGAAACCATTGAACTTTCTTTAACAACCCTAGTTAAAAGACTTAATCCAAAGGTGCATTTGGGCCGCAGTCCTAACTATTTCCTCCAATCGCATTTTGTGATGGTAATGAACTGTATCGTGATATAGTTGGGTAATTTATCTTCATTCTCGAGTGCTCGCCAAACTAAATTTCGCTTTCTAAATTATTTGCATGATGGCTGACCGATAACGAATAATTATTTTGTGGCAGTAAGCATTTTGCTAATAGGCAATGATAATGAGCTGCCCAAATAGCTCAAGACATAAATCGAGTCAAGGCCGATTAAGCTTATTCCGTATGATCGCTGTTGCACATCTTCATTTTGTCAGAAATAGGTTATTTCTGTTAAACTTACTATATTTTCTGTCTTCATTTAAAATGTTCAGATTCTTTTGTTCAGATTCTTTTGTTCAGATTAGTCGATTCCATAGGCGTATGCGCATATGTTTAATCTTCAAATAATCCTCCACGCTGAGGTTCATATGAGTTTTATTTTAATTGGCTTAGCTGACCTAGTTCTTCCAATTTAGATATGAAATTATTAAGACTTCGAACGATATAACCTGTACTACGTCATATTCAATATTTTTTTCAGCATTGAGCTTTGATAGATACGTTTCCAGATTAGTCTTTTGAATAGACATCGTGAGTTAGCATATCTATTCTTTTCTTCAAACTGTTGTTTGTTTAAGTAACAAGGCAACTTTATTTTACTCTTTCATGACATCTCTATATCACCCTGTTTTGGCGAATTTTCCTATAATATATAACTATGGCAGGTGATGCAGTATAATCAGGCTTCTTATATTATTTGTGTAGCATGGCATTATATTGGTAGATAAGGCAACTTTCTAGCCATTTCGCAAGTGATTACGGCAATATTTGCAAAGTTTTCACTTCATAATCCTAAGCTCGTCATTTCTTCATCAACTAAAACGTATTTCTTATTATTTCTACGCTTACTTGTATACCCATCCGTGTCAATTTTCTCAAGGATTCTTTGAAGAATTATATTTATGTTATCCTCAGGTTTGATAAGAAAACCTCTCGGACAAATTCGATCTTGGTTCTTTTGTTGTTATAAGGCTAGAAGTTAAATATAATTCCTGTGCAAGATTTAGTTCAGAATAATCATTTCTTAAGTATCACTCTCTAGCGAATTTCTATTGAATCCATAGACTATAAATCGTTGTCATTATTTAAGTTTATTGCAGATTTGACTTTTTTATAAATACAGTTTAAATTTATTACGAAGGCATCCAATTTTTATTTTAAATTGTATCATTGCTTAAATTAGGAGTATAGTCAACATATCAACAGACATGGCTGTACAAGAAAGCTTATTAATTTCTCCAACTTTTCGTGTTAACTTTAGGCAAGAGAGTTTAGAGTAGAGAACCTTTCAGTGGAGCAAATATATACTCTCAGATTTGATTATTGAATGTAAACTAAGTATTTCTTGTTGAAAAATTTAACATTTCTGTGAAATGCTTCTTCGTGATCCTCCTGATCCTCAGGAATTTCCCTATTTTTTAAATATTTTCAGTATTGTCAAGAGTGGTATTTCCCCCCAGATACTAGCATCCATTATTTAGTGCATTCATTTACTTGACCAAGACTGATAAGATAAATGATAACAATGGCAGAAGACACAGTAGAGAGTACGCCATTTAAATTTTCTCATAAAAGCACAAAACATTTGAGAAAATTAGAAAAAGCTAAGTCCAAACGGGTCCAAACTAGAGCTTAAATCCACTTAGCCTTCAAAACAAATTAATTTTGTGTCTTCCTTTGGAAGTCAAATCAGACATCTCCGATCTCTGGATCCATGGGTTATACAAGCAATGCATTCATAGACCGCAACGCATTGATGCAAAATGTTATACATTTCTGACCAAGCCAAATGTTCTAAAGAAGTTGTTTACCTTGTTTTCGGAACTTGGTCATATTGGCAGGAAGACCTAGAGGAACGTATCTTGTCCGGAGTCCATAACATACATGATCATTTCCAGAGTCGGACCGTAGACGTAGTAAAGTCTCGGACTTTTCGCCGGCATCGTTACTAAGCCTTGCCATTCTTAGCACATATTTTTCATTCAACGGCAATATCTATGAGCAAATATTTATACTACCGATGTGATCCCCACCTTCCCCTCTTTTGGCAAATTCATACATGGATAGATTGGAGAGGGAATTCGAGAAGTTAGCGCTGTAATCAAGAGTGACTATGCGATACCAAGACGACCACTTTGCCCTTTGGTCGCATGGTAAGGCAAATTTAGATGAAATCATAAATTTTATAAACCAACTTGATGAAGGAAGTAAATTCACAATGTTGGTGAACGAGGGTAAACGACTTCCCTTCCTGGATCCTTAGGTCATTCGCTCCAACAGAATACTCAAGAGGAGACTATTATGTCCAGTCTAATCACAACTACAGAGTGAAGATCAGAATAATGAGAAGTATGAGCATCAGAAACTTAAGACCAACGGGCACTGATTTCTGGAATGAGGAGTTGTAAAAACTGATTCGGATTTGCCTTAGTGATGGGTACCCCAGAAAATTCATAGAAAGAAACACATGCGTCATAAAGAGCAGATTTCAACTTTGATTCTACCAAAATAAGATCAGAAATCGGGAGGAAGACAGAAAATGTATATGCCTGCCTTCATGTAAACTGAGCCTGAAATTGCGACCGTTACTAAAAAAAGTGAAATATCAAGGTGATAACAAAAGAAAAGACAACACTTTTCACAAATATACTGACGCAACACAAGAAGGTTGACAAAGTGGATTGTTTGGCAGTCTATAACATCAGATGGGGCAACTGTGAGCAGAAGTAAATTGGTAGAACGGGAAGAAAGATCAGCCAGCACATCAAGGAACACTAACGACTCTGCAGAAATATGGAGACTGAAAGATACGAAATAGCGGAACACATCGCACGGTCATGACACTAAATCGAGTGAAAATCGACATAAAGGCTGGCTGCATATGTTGGAAATACAAGAAAACATAAGACACGAAAAGCCATCGATATTCTGATTAAAAGAAATCTAATGAACAGGAGACTTTAAGAAGACAGGATTAACGAAAACTTTGCATATTACATAAGCAAACTTGGAGAAGTCCAGGGAACAGCAATATCAGCAAAAAGAAGACGACTGGAGAAAGGTAATATTTTTAATTTTAGGAAAATAAATTAGAAGAAGACTAGAGAGGAACAATCGAAAACCAAGAGAAGACCTCTGCAGTGAGTCTATTTAAATTAAGTAGAACCATCATATTTGTTTAGTACACAATCGAGCAAAGGATCGACTTCACTTGTCTCTTTGATGAGTAGTAGTGTGATGCTAAGTGACGACGCCGACTAAGATGCCGACGAAACGTCTGGGAATGCACCAAGTCCACGGTCCGACTCTGGAAATTGTCATGCATACTATGGACTCTGGAGAAGGTGCGTTCCTCTAGGTCTTCTTGCCAATATGACCAACTTGCGAAAACAATGTCAAATAACTTTTATAGAACGAAAGGAGACTACGACCATACAAAAGGGCATACCATCTTGGTCTTCATATTTTCGAATAAATGTTTTAAAGTTGTCACATTACTAAGGAAATATTTACTTCTTCCCCAAACCTTCATCAGGACATTTCGAACTTTGCCAAACACTGGTTTACTAAGGATTGTTTATTCCTCTTATTTAAATTTCTTAGCCCATTTCATTAAGTTTCTGTGTATACAACGGATAGATGTTCTTTATTGGAATCGTTATTAATAAACCTGATACCTTACAGCTGCTATAGACCACATTTTTATCTACAATTATTTGATTATAACTACTTTGAGAACATAACCTTAGTTGAAAAATGATTTTTAAGACGAAATTAATATGTTAGAAAATGTGTCATTGGCCTATATGCTAACAGTGAAAATCACAATTCCCAGTTGATCATTCTTCAGGTCTTGATAAGAATAAAATTAG